GCCCTGAGCTTTCCTTAGGAAGATCTGAAAGGTTCAGTGTCACTAGCACAAGCTCCTGCAATGGCTGCTGGCCAGCAGAGCAGGGCTGGCAGCTGGGAAACAAGTGTTGCCACAAGCAGCAGCTCAACCAGGGCAGCAAATCCAGAGCAGGGAAGGAGCTGATCTGAAAGCCAAACCCCCTTTTAGCTCCTCCCAAGAGGGCTGGAACAGTTCCTCATCCCAGTGAGGTGCAGTGCTGGACCCCACAGCTCTGTGTGAGCACTGGACAAAAGTTTGCTCCCACTGGCTGGTGTGATGGTTTCTGCAGGAGCTCTGGGCTCCTGTTTGTGCTGGACACAAGGAGGAGACGAGGAGCCAAGTGCACTGACACACCTTTGCCTTGAGCATAGCCCGGCCTGGACCAAACACACTGCAAGGGTTCCCCTTTGGCCCATGTCTCGAAACATCAGGTGCACTGTTTGATGACTCAGGTTGGTTTGGTGCCAAGGAATTTCCCTCAGAAATACTGGGTTTGTCTCCCTCTGTGCCTTCCCCTCAGCAGCATTGCGGATGTTCCTGTGTGAAGCCATCTATCCCATGCAGTTTGAGACAACTTAAAACAATAAATTGTGTCCTCTAAACTGTTCCAACAATCCCCTTCCAGCAACAGGAAATGAAAACTAAAGAAAAAAGGCCAGTGACTTCTAGATATCAAACTGTCAGACCTCACTGTCCCCCCTCTGGAACAAAGGCCCAAAATGCCGGAGGACAATCCCTCCAGGACACCCGTCACAAGATGGCTCCGGGTTCTCCCTCAGGAAGAACAGGAGCTGTCACAGAGCAGTTCCAGCAGCAGATGAAAGTTCGGTGGCTCGTCTGGCATCTGGGACTTTCTCCCAATGGCAGAGCTCTGCGGAGTGGTCACGGCAGGGGAATCAGCTGGGCTGGAGTCCCTCGTGTCTGTTCTGCCCAGCATGGCACAGCTCACACTCTTGGGCTGGGAGCGGGGCCGTTCCACTTCTGCCAGCACGATGTCCATGGGCTTAGACAAGCAGTTTTCTACTCAGAGAGCCCTGCAGACTGTTCCACATATCTTTCATAAAGCCCATAAAAACAACTACAAACAATCTGACTATAGCAGCTTTCAGAAAGAGCTGCAGAAATCCAGGACAGCTTAAAGCGAGAGTCAGAAGGCTTTTGTCTTGTTCCTGCCTGCAGAATTCTTGATGATCTGATGCAATTTTATTCAGATGTAACATGGGATCTGAGTTTTTCTATTAAAATATTTCATGATGAGTGCAAGCCTTGAGAGCATGAGGTATAGGAGTGATGTGTGAAACCATGAGCATATCCTCCAAAGTGGCCAGTTTAGTTGTCCATTTTACTATTCTTGTATTTATTCTATACTAATAAGCAAAATCAAGCTTTGCTTGGATGTAAAACAGGCACGGCATACACTACAGTCCTCACAGGATCACCAGGGCTGGCAGTGACAAAGCATGCAATCTGCTTCATTGTGAACCACTACAGAGCTACATCACAATGTGGGTTTAAGTGGCATGGTATTATTAAGACCTCCTTTTTTGCATGAGATACAAAAAGGAGGTCCCACATGACCTTCATGCAAGCATGCAGTAAAGAACTGATCCTGCTATCCTAACAAAGCTTTGGCTTTGGCATTTACACTCTTCCCATTCATCTTTTGACACAGACACTCCAGGTTTTCCCCCACCCCTGCAAGGCTGGCAGTCGCTGTTTCCCATTTACTGTTCTTCCCTAGAGCCAGTCCAGCAGCTGCTGAAACTAAAAACCCAGAGATCTGGATATTGTGAAGGAGAATGAAATGTTAATTAAGTGTTCACATTAGTAATACCCAGGTCTGCACTTCCCAGTGCTCTGAAGTAGCAGCTGGAGGTCCTCGCATTGTTCCTGTTTGTGGATGTTCATGTTTCTGGTCTGCAACAGCAATGGCTTTGAGGAGGGACAAGAATGCCCCTATTCAAACAGTGGCTGTGCAAGGAGATGTGAAGTTTCACTGCCCTTTTTAGAATATTTTAGAAAGATCTAAGAGAATATTGTGGCATGGAGCAGGTCCCTAATTGTGTCTCCAGAGAAAGCCCCAAAGCACACATTCACTCTGCTGCTGATGGCAACCCCATAAGCACA